GTTATCATTTGACGTAGTAAGTTTGTATTCGTTAGTACCATTCGATAAAGCAATTTTAGCTATTATTGATCTTTTAAATAATGATAAAAATGATCTTCAGCTGCGCACTAAATTATCTTTAACTGACATTCATAAATTAATTGAACTTTGTCTAAGTAAATGCTATTTTCTGTGGGATAACAAAATTTATATCTTTAAAAACTCTGGTCCGATTGGATTATCCATAATGGTAGTAATTTCGGAAGCTTACTTACAACATATTGAATATAATGCAATTCAACAAGCATTAACCATTAATGTTGCACCAATAACTTTTTAACGATATGTTGATGACTGCCATGCACGTTTTTCTAACTCTAATAAAGCAAAATCGTTTTTGACACTTTTAAATTCTCAAGACAAAGCTATTCAATACACATGCAAATACCAAAATAATCAACATCAACTTAATTTCTTAGACATCTGCATTAGGTGAACCTAATCATATAACTCATAAATATAACTTTTCTATATACCGCAAGAATGCAATAACGAATGTACTTGTAAAACCGCAGTCGTGTATATCACCATATATTGCAATAGGGATATTTGAAGGTTTTCTTGCAAGAGCTTATAAATTATGCACTAGTGATAATATAGAAAAAAAAAATTGAGTTCCTAATTAAGATTTTTATGGAAAATGGATATTCTCAGCAACAACTTCTAGACATTATTAAACATTACAAACCATCCCATACTAAAAACCGCCAACAAATTAACACAAATAATACCATAATACTTCCGTGGGTTCCTAAATTAGGCCTTATTCTTAGACGTGAGTTTCGAAAAGTTTTTATAAAAACAGTTTTTCGTTTTGGAAGATCTTTATTAAACATATTATGCCAAAATAAATTAAAGCTACCACCAAACAGTTACCCGGGTGTTTACCAACTTGAATGTACATGTGGCGCTTTTTATGTGGGTGAAACCAGAAAAAATATAAAAACGCGAATAACTGAACATCAAAAAAACGTGACTAAAGCAAACTAGAAAGCATCTGGAATTATGGAACATGCACAACATTGCCAAGGTATAATAGGTTGGAATAATCCTAAAACACTTTCAGTTATCTCAAATAATCATACAAGAAAAATCAGGGAGGCAATTGAAATAGACAGATTGCAATGTTGCTATCTAAAAAATAAAGTTCTAAACAGAGATAATGGTAACCTAGTGATGACTCACCATTGGAAACCATTTTTCATAAAATTGAAGAAAAACTTTTATAATATTACGTAGCAATGACATCATTATTGTAAACAACGAATTTTTTGTAACGTATTTTAGTTTGAAAATAGCTCCAACAATATGAGCCGAAATATCACATTTGAAATTTTAAAAAATTTTAATAAGTTAAATAAATAGTATGTCACCGTATGTAATGTATTTTCAATTTTATATATAAATTTCATCATACTATTAAGATGTCATTAAAATATTATATATATATATATATATATATATATATATATATATATATATATATATATATATATATATATATATATATATATATATATATATATATATATATATATATATATATATATATATATATATATATATATATATATATATATGTATATATATATATATACATACAATAATGCTCAAAAGTTTAGCACGCAGCAGAATTAAATTTAGTTTTTCCATATATGTTAATTTTTCAGTTAGTAAAGCTTTAAAAAAATGTTTTCTTCTATTTATCAATTAACAAGGCATAACAGATAAAAAAAGAAAAAAAGTAAAAAAATTCGCTCAGACACATCCATTTTTTTAAGTACATACATTAAGAGGTATTTTAAGATTTAAAAAAAAGCTGTTCATAAGTTTAGCTTGTTAGCTCTTCTTGAAGCTTTTAAGTAGATTTTTTATAAATTTATCGCGCTAAAAGTTGCATCATAATAAATTTAAACTCTTCTTTTAATGAAATATTACAAAAATATATTTAAAGTAATATTTAATATTTTAAAAGTTTGTATTAAATTAATTCATCTTTTAGCTTAATTTTAGATTATAATAATAATAAAAATTTGAAAATTCCCATGGGAAGAAAAACTGTAAGTCAAGAAATCAAACAGCATATTATTGGCCTTAATATGGGAGGTCACTCTAACATTGAAATATCTTGAACTTTAAAGTGTGTTTCACCATCATGTGTAAGTAGAACTATTGCTAAGTTTAATGAAACTGGTAGTACTGCTGACAAAAAGCGTTGTGGGCGACCAAGAAAGACAAATAACACTGATGATAATTCTATTTATAGAATTGCCAGAAAAAATCCAGTATACTCAGCGAAACAGATTGCACAAGAAATGAATCTGTCACTTTCTTGTTAGCAATTGCAAGTTTCCAAACACATGCAATGTAAAGTAAGTAAAGAAACATTAATGTAAGTAAGTAAACATTACTTTTCAATTAGTAAATTTATGAGTAATAATTAATTTTATTTTTTTTACATTTTTTATGCCTATTTTTATAAAATGATCAAATAAAATGCACCAAAACAAAGTTCTGGATTATCTTTAATTGATCTAATCATAGCATTTTAATTAATTAACGTGGGTAAATAAGTTTCCAGTTTAGTGAATTGATAGAATTGCAACAGTTTAAAGAAATATTCATGTTTCTCTAATGTGACGGTGGTAAGATTTTTTCATTTTTTTTTTTGTGATTTCATATCTTTATTGGAAAAAATGTAATCGTTTAGAGTTTCAAAATTACAAATACATTTTAAAGTGAGTGGGTATTTTTACTCCTATGTCCTCTACGTAACTTCCATGTCCTCTAATAGGTTATTTTATAACCTATTAGAGGACATGAGACCTACAAACCTATTAGTTTTCTCTGCTTTTTAAAATTGTATGCTTTCTTTTTTATTATTTAATTCAGATTGTTGGTGAGATAGCTCGTGTATTAAAGTCTTCTGTCACAGTTGACTCAGCAAGAGTCATCTTGACTGAATACATTGAGACACTTTTACGTTATGGAATACACAAGTTAGTAGTTCGTTGCCCACTGCCACTCAAATACATATAAGCATGGATTCATATGTTACCCTTTTTAGTCTTTAAAGACATCTAGTAGCAATGATAAGGTTACATCTTTTCAAAATGATTGTTATGACTTTGAATAAGAAGATATCGTTTTAAGTTATTGCTTATTTTAGTTTGTAATCTTTAGTGCTAACAGCATTTAGTACCAGGAGTAAAGCTACATGTATCTTTTCTATATGAGTTTAGATTCCATAAACTATTGAGATGTCATTTGCTTGTTAGACTTTTTATTTTATATTTTTTAGTGGAATTGACATGTCGCAGCCATGGTAATGTTATGTTTTTGAAAAATTGTTAAAAACAACTATTTAAATTATTACATATTTTTAATTTGAGTTATTTAGTGGCTGCAACATTTATTCCGAATGGCATCAACATCTGGTACCAGTGGTAAAGTCACAATCTTTTCGCTGTAAGTATATAATATAATCCATATATTTTGATGGGGTTGTCTGCCTGTTTTCTTTTTTCTTTTATTTATGATATTAATGGCAATTATGGCATCAATGGCAATGGTAAAGTTATTTCTTTTTGAAATATTTGTAAATAACCAACTAAATATTTATGATTTTATGTTATACCCTATTTTATAATGTGTTTTTCAATGATAGTTTTACCGATGAAGTCTTTTTAAAATCATTATAAATGACATTTCGAAGACGTATTTTTGCTTGTTATCTTTTGTATTTTGCAGTCTTTAATGGCATTGATATCTCTTAGCAATGATAAGATTGTATCTATTCAAAATGGTTATAAATGACTTTTGTTTTGTCTGTTTAAATTATTGTCATCTTATTTTGTAACTTTTAGTGGCAACAATATTTAGTAGCATTGGTAAAGCTACATGTATCTTTTCAATACGAGTTTCTATTTGATAAATTATCAAGGTGTCATTTACCTATTATCCTTTTAATTTTTTATTCTTTAGTGGTATCTACACTTAGAAGCTATGGTAATATTATATCTTTGAAAAATAATTATAAACAACTGTTCAAGTAAGTATATATTATACCCTTTTTAATTTGTGTTATTTAGTGGCATCAAAATCAAGTAACAATAGTAAAGTTATACCTTTTTAAAATACATATAAATGATCAATTAAATGAATATATATTATAAAGCACACACGATTTAAATTGGTTATCTTTTTTCCTTTTTGTAATTTTGATTTAAAAAAATGATGTTGAACCACCAAAGAACAAGAGAACCTCTTAGACATAAATGTTGAAAATTAACCGGATACAACACTGTTGTAAAAACATAACTTTTGCTTGTAAAGAAGCAAGAAAAGTTTTCAATATTAATTTCGAAGAATCTGCTTATTAATCTGAATTATTGAGTTTTAAATGTTTTGTATAAGTGAGTTGAAGTTTTGTATAATTGAGTTTGTTTTATTGAGTTGAATTATAATGTTTTGTATAAGTATTTAATCTAAATTCAATTCAAATATGGATGTAAAGTAACGGTATTAAAAACAAAAGCAGTCATTAAACCGTTTAAATGTACATGCTATTAATTAAAAAAATGGAATTTTTTTTACTTATATGGAAGCCTAATTGCTGCTATGCCGTGGGGGTCATTAAAAGCACTGGAAGGCCTAGACTAAAAAAACATAACTTCACTTTTAATGTAAATGAATTTTAACCAAGAAATACTACAAGACGTAACTTTTTTGGAATATGTCAATGTTGGAAATTGTTTATTTTGCTACTTTGATCGATTAATGTAAGAGAAAGAGGTTTTGAATCACTAGCAGAAAAATTTAAAACAGTCTAATGAAAATTAAAAACCAAGAATGATTTTCTTTTAATATTTTTATAAATCTAAATACTAAAATATCTTTGGCTATTCTATATAAATATTTCGGCATTTGCTCCAAAACTTTTATATAATGCAACAGACTAACTTTCAGCACTTAACAACTTTATTTGAAACTGTAATTATATTGTAAAATATTAAAAATTGCACACTTTTTAAAAGCTATTGCTATAGAAACATGTGCTTTTACATTTGTTATAAAATCTATACAAAAATATAAAAAAAAAATAAAACCTAAAATAGCTAAACAAAAAGATTACAATATTTTTCGTTTTATATTTAAATCTCTGCGTTTTTAAATATAAAACGAATATTTCGTTTTATATTTAAAAACGCAGAGATTTAAACTATTTACAAAAACGCTTTGCAGCTCTACGTATGCGTCCGCGACTACTTATGGCTGCAGAACATTTTAATGAGCTTTCTTCAGAATCTTCGTTACTTTCAGTAAATGGTTTTTCATCAACTAAATCAGTTCTTGTTTCTTTATCTGATATTTGATCAAATACATCAAATTCTTCTTCACAGTAATTAACAGCAGATTTAGATCTGCACGAAGAACGTTTTTGTAATATATTATTTTGTTTCAACTTAAGTTTTTTGTTTGGTTTTTTTATCTATTTCGACTACTTGACGACGTTTCAATGAAGGTTTAGGAGAAGTTTTTTTAGTAAGGTATTCCAAATTTTCGTCTGAGTCATAGCCATAACGTTTTCTAACGCAAGATCTACGTTTAGAATTACGTGGTTGTTTCGATATAGATATTTTAGGTATAACGTTTTCTTCTGAGCTTAAACTAGAGTCACTTGAGTCTATATTTATATAACTATTCATAGACTTTGTAACACGCAACACTCCATTTTGTGTTGTTGTTGCACTTTTTGATAATGATTTACCAGTACACTCGACAAGTGAAATGTGATTATTCCTTTTAGGAGATATATTCTTTTTATAGCTTTTTATAGGTCTTGTAGAGGAATGTAATTCATCTTCTGATGAATCAGATATTTTTATACAAATGGCTTCTTTTTTAGATTTTCCACGCGTCAAGTGAATATTTTCATAAGAACGTGTGTAAGCGTCAATAACAGCATGACATCGAGCGTCAAACAAAGCCGATAGCCTTAGTGTCATTTTATAAATCTAGCAATAAAAACATTTTTTAAAAACATGTGTTCATATTTAATCAAAATTTTTATCTGTAGTATGACAAAGTGCTTGAAAAATAACAAAATAACAAAAAAATAATAAATAAATAAACTAACATTTAAAATAACTAACAGCAGAACGTCAAACTATAATGTAATGTTAAAAATGTACGAAAATTGAAAACAACTTACAGCAGAACGTCGATCAGTGGTGTACGTTTTCGAGTTTTTGAAGATAAGTTGAAAATCGCGAATAAAAGATTCGGCATCATCATACTGATTGGAATCTAATCTTTGCCGTATAGTAGAAAGATCAATCGGATCATGTATGACACTAAGATAATCCTAAAGATGGTTACTCCATTATTACATAACATTTATAGATGAAATAACCAGACATTAATTTGTTCAAACAAAAATTGATTACAAAAATATTAACAAACTAACTGAAAAAATGATACAAATGACCCATAGACATTAATTAATTTAAACAAACACCAATTAAAAGCATATTACAATTTACCCATGAATAATATTGAATAAACTAAAAGATTACATATCGTTATTAAGATTTAAAAAAAAAAGTCTTTACTTTATTCGACGCAACTTAGCGTTTAAAGTAGTTATTTTTAAGTTTTATAACATGTTCTAATGTGTTTAGACTCAATCGATTTCATACATAATATACATTTGATAAAAATTATTTTTGCAACTTCTTTTTGAGTTTATAAAATTATGGAAAATGTGCAGTTACCATTTTTCTACGCATTTATGAATAAATTAATTAAATCGGCATCTACCAATGCATCAAAAAAAAAATCCAAATGCTTAAATAGATAAGTATTGCAACATGAAGTACAGCAAGGAATATATATTTCTAGATTCCAGCTAAATATCCAAATTTTAAAATTATTTTCAGAAAAACTGACACCTCTGTTTTGCAAATAAATACTTCAAGAGAGTATCGTGTCACTGATAAAAAAAAGAGATTTTTAAACTGCTGTGTACAATCCAAATTTTTCTGATTTATGTTTTTTTTGACTAAATCAGAATTATAAACAAATTTACATTTTGAGACAATCTTGTTGGCTCTACAAAGCCAATAACGATAAATCACCTACAATATTTGTAGTCTTATATTTTAGCTTTGTTTTGTTTACTCATTATCCAGATTTTCTATTTTACATTTTTGTTAAAAAAAATTCAACTATGTTACACTGCAAATCTATCCAGCTAAAACGTCTGAAAGAAAACTTTAGACATTATTTAATTGTGTTATAGTTTTAAATGTAGTCTGCTTATTTAAGTTAATGTATTGTTACTTCATAAACCTTGGTGTCTATTTAAACCAAAATGGAAGACTTAGAAGTAACATAAAATGACTAATATTTGACTGATAATGTCTGTATCTTAAATAGTCAATAATGTCTGTATTTTAAATATTCTCTTATCTTTGTTATAATTCGTTTTTATTTTTATTATATTACTTTTATTTTTATTATATTACTTTTTATTTATATTATATTATTGTTATTTCATATTATTGTTACTTCATAAACCTTGTTACTTCATAAACCATTGTTACTTCATAAACCTTATATTATTGTTACTTCATAAACCTTAGTGTCTATTTAAACCAAAATGGAAGACTTAGAAGTAACATAAAATGACTAATATTTGATTAATAATGTCTGTATCTTAAATAGTCAATAATGTCTGTATTTTAAATATTCTCTTATCTTTGTTATAATTCGTTTTTATTTTTATTATATTACTTTTATTTTTATTATATTACTTTTTATTTATATTATATTACTTTTATTCAATATCATTTGTTTGTCTTCTGTATTTTAAAGTTAAACTTATTAAAACTAAAAATAAGGTATCAATATGTTTAATTTATGTTAAAACATCTAAAAAACTGGATAAAAATTAATTGACAAAACAAAATCGTTAATTAAGAAAAATGGATTTTGTATCCTGGCCCCTTACAACCAAAAATTTATAAGTAATGACATTTATGAGAAACATTTGATACCTTAGAAAAGATGCATTTTGCTGCTGCAAAATAATTTAGTTTTTATTCAAATAGAATAATTAAAAAAACAAATTTAGTAGGCTACAAGTGTTTGCATTTATACTTATTTATATTTATTTGAATAACACTTTTTTTTTCATTAAAAATTAAAAGTAAAATTAATTAAATTAAATTAATTTAGTTAAATTAAAGACTTAAAAAAAAGTTAATGAGTGCACAGTGACATTTCAAGCTTTTGTTACAGACAGAGAAAGTTAATGAGTTCCTTGTTAAAGAGTTTTTATTGCAGTTTTTAGTCCAAAGGTGGAAACGAAAAACATAATGGCAGATAAAATTTTGGTATAGCAAAGCATTATAAAACTAATAAGATATGCACCAGACATTTCAACATTATCTAATAGCTTATTATGAGACTTTTTTTAAATTAAAAATCCAACATTCAAGTAAATCATTTTTTTTTTTTCATCAATTGAATGATGACTTATGTTTACATTCTATTTTGTAAAAAATTTATATCTAAAAAATACATGTTTCTTGGAACTGATTTTATAGAAATATTACTAGATAAAAAAATTTCAAAAAATAGAAAAAATATAAAAGTAAAAATAGCTAACCGGAAAAAGCTCTGTATCAACAGGCTCCCTAAATGGAGCTGCGTCATCCTTTAAAGCAATAAACTCCAGTAATGTCTTTGCCTCACGTTTCCAGTCCTAGGTCCAAAAAATGTTATTCTTTTATTTTAAACAAGATCAAACAATGTTATTTAAAACTGTGTTCATTAAAAAAATAAGGATTTTTATTTCTTTTTCTAAAACAATTCATTTCCATCAGCAAGCAACCATTATTAAATTGAGAGTTACTAGAAAACAAAAAATAGTATTAAAGTGCATAGAAATGGTTGACAGAAAATTTGAAAAGTTATAGGGTAAATAAGTCAGGAAAATATGGAGATATTAGAGTGTTTCAAAGCATATTTTTTGATCATGAAGGAGACAGATAAATAGACAAGGAGACAGTAAAATAGTATTAGTAAAAAAAAGAGATGCAACCTTACAAAGATGGAAGAGTGGCTCAAGATCGGCAGATAGAACAGATCCAACTAAGACAGGAATATATATTGATTTGTCAGCAAATATAGACACTTTAGATGAAAGATTGTCAGAACAGTCATTAATCTAGATAGAAAACAATACAAGACCAAGGATAAAACCTTGTTGAACCCCAGAAGTTACTAGAAATGAAAAAGAGTGTTTGACTTTCAGAATGACATTAATATTCCTGTTAGAAATAGAGATTGACTGATTTTTCGAACGTTTTATTAACTCGGTAAAAAGGAAAAATTACAGTTGAAAAACGTACCAAAAACCAAAAATTTAATTTAGAAAAATAGTTATTTTTTAGAATTTTAAAAAAATATTTTACTATTTCAAAATGGAATTTTAGCTGATTGTTAACAAATTACTTAACAAGTAATTTGTTAACAATCAGCTAAAATTTCAATGCCCTATTAAGTAACTGTAGTTACTTAATAGGGCATTTTAAAATATTAAAACCCCAAATATTCAAGCCAATGCAGTGTGCATAATATTTTGACTGTTAATGTTTATTTAAAGAAAACAAGTTTGCTTTAAAATAGTTTAAGATTACTTTCAACAGCTGGAGATATACTGAGCAATGAAAGGCTAAAACCAAATAACTTCGAAAAAAAAATTTTTTTTTAGAGAAAAACTGCCAGCTGTTTTTTTGCTATTAACATTTGCTATTAACATTTGCTATTAACATATATTGCCAACTTATGTTTTAAATCATAAATAAATGTAAAATTGCATTTTAAATAAAATTTTCTAAAGAAATTAATTTTGACTAGCCAAATTGTCAATATCGGTTTTGGTAAAATATCTGTTTCCTTACCAAACTAGAGTAACCAAAAATTCGATTTATTTCTGTTTTAGTCAACCATTAGTTAAAAAGCAATAGCCCTTTAAGAATTTTTCAGTTACAACAGTCAGACATAAAACAAGAAGATTGAAAACCAATTGATATTGATTGTCAGAGAGAATGTTATAAGACTCAAGAAGAGATGTTAGAAATTTAATGCCATTTTTGAGCAAGCAGGAAATCAAGATTCAGTCTAGCACTTATTAAACAGTTTAGAGAGAACTTAAGTTTTGGAGAAAACATTTTTTTAAGACTATGACAGGAATGTTGTCTCGATCACAAGCCGTAGGTTTTAATTGAGAAACGACTTTTAATATTGGAAACCAGAGTGGTATAGATGTCTAGCAATGTCAGTATGTTTAACTGGAATGGCAGGATATGTATGGAGATTAGATTCAAGGGTCGAGTTAAAGGGAAATAGTTTGTAAATAGTTCTGCTTTACCCTTAATAAAGGTGATAAGACCAGACCCATAATTTAGAAATAGGAATGTTCAACTATTTATTATAAATACTAAAAAAACTAAAATAAAGCACCTCATCTGCATGCGTAGAAACCCCAGATTGTTCAGATGACGCACACTAAAAAAAATAAAAAAAATAAAACTCAGTTTAACTATTTTCAATGTAAACATTTTGTACTTAATATTGAATATAGCTCAAATAAAACCATTGAAACCAGTTATTTTTCATTCTTTTTTTGTTGTTTTATTCATATTTTATTTTATTTTAATATTTTATTTTGATATTTGATTTTTTATATTACTTTTGAATCACCCTAAGAATTATAAAAACTACTTTTTTAAAATCACTAACAGGAGCATCACTTTCATATGCATCATATTCATCTCTTTCATCTTCTGATTCTTCAAAATTTTGTTCCTAAATAAACAATTATGCAATAATAATATTTATTAGCTTTAATAAAACAATAAATATATGAATAAAAAGATACCATAGTCTCATTAACATGTGGAATACTTTTACATAAAGAGCGTATATCAGTTATGATTGGGTCTCTGTAACAAATGTTAAACAGTATTTTTTATTTTATACAAACATTTCAACAATGCAAAATTTAAATTTATTACTAAAATATAGTTTAGATTATCAATTATTAAAAAGTGTTATGACAGAAGAATGAAGACTTTGTGAATAACGAAGACTTTGTTAAGGATGAAGACTTGTAAAGGATGAAGAGTTGAAAAGGATGATAAATTGTAAAGGATGAAGACTAGTGAAGGATGAAAACTTTGTGAAGAATGATTTTATTACAATGTGGCAAGAATAATATACACTAAAATTTTTAATGTACTTTTTAAAAGAAGAACATGTTTATTATACTTATAAATTTTTAAAACCTTTATTTTTAAAATAATGAAGGTATTGATAGTGTTGATTTAAGAAAAAAATGGTAAAATTATTGATAGTGTTGATGTTAGAAAAAAATGGTAAAATTATTGATAGTGTTGATGTTAGAAAAAAATGGTAAAATTATTGATAGTGTTGATGTTAGAAAAAAATGGTAAAATTATTGATAGAGTTGATGATAGAAAAAAATGGTAAAATTATTGATAGTGTTGATGTTAGAAAAAAAGAAACAACTTATTTATTATCAACAAAAAAAAAAAGATTAAAAAAAAATTGTATCCAAAGGATGATTGTGTGTGTGCATGTGTACATATAACATTGTTAGGATTAACCTATATTTTATTAAATATTTAAAACATGAAATAATTTAAACATTTGATATAATTATACTTGGTAATTTAAAGTTGTTACTTTATTTAAAAAAATGTAAAACAAAGCATACTTGCAAAACTTGCAAAGCAGTTCAACCAAGTAAGTAGCATCAACAATAATAGCACTGCCTTGTTCATTAAATTCAACAGCATTAGTTTTTATTTGACGTATCTCCCACAAGAGTGCATCTATTCGCCTAAATTGACAAAATACTTTAATAATAAAATTATATTTACATAAGAGTGTATAAAGAAATATCTTTAACTACTGATACACATCAAGTAAGGATTAGGGTTAAAAATATTACTTTGTTGTAACCGATATCAATCATACATTTAGGATCTATATCAGAAAAATAAAAATGCAAAGGGCACTCAGAACACAAGTTTTGAGTGTTGAGATAAGTTGTAAAACTTTCCAAAGAAATAACCTTTCTTAACCTAAACTTAACCTAAAGAATTGTTTTTTAATAACACTTAAGTGATTTGTGTTTGTTTTGCAAATGTTATTTTTTGTTTTGAATATATATATACAAATATATATATATATATATATATATATATATATATATATATATATATATATATATATATATATATATATATAAATATATATATTTATATATAAATAAATAAATATATATATATATATAAATATATATATATATATATATATATATATATATATATATATATATATATATATAATTATATATATATATATATATATATATATATATATATATATATATATATATATATATATATATATATATATATATATATATATTAGAGATATCCACTTTGTCGGTCATATTTGAACTTTAATACACAGTATTGCAAATGAGTGGTGCAGAGGTCATATTTATATATGAAAAAAATTTTTTTTAATGGGAAAATGACTAGTGTTGATAACCATTTTACTTATATTATTTCTCAGAATAGCTGCATCCTCTCGTGTGATTTTGTCAGAAATTCTGTGACCAGAGCTAAGGGATAATGTAATACCATCAATATTTCCATCAGCACTGGTCACGACAGAACTTATAAGTGCATTTGCTTGATAGTTGGAAATTTCCATTTCAATTGCAGTTCTTGCAGTTTTTGACACAATATCTCTAGGGAATATGAGTAACTGACCTTTAGCAGCTTTCTTCCTTTTGGGTCAAGTTATCTCAAAATCCTGATCATCAAAGCTTTGATTGGTACACTCAAGTTCACAACTATCAAAACTAACTTTATTTTCAGTTACAAACCTTGCCGATATTTCTGTTTCTGCCTGTACAAAAGAGATTTCCTAACTTTCTCTAAATTTTGCTCTCGCACTGATCTGCTCAAAATGGCCATTAAGTTCTCTTATTCCCATTTTTCGGCTTTTTATCTGGTCCTGAATAAAAAGTAAATCTTCTTCCTTGTGCGATATCAGTATGTGTCAATTAGAATGCTAACTTCTGTGAAGAATTTTCAAATCATCACCCACCCAAAGCAATCCTATAAAAAAAAACTGTATAGCTAGATTTTGTGAGAAATTTTAAAAAAAAGTTGAGGTGGGTTATTTATAATATAAAAAAGGACTGCTAGGTTTATTCAGTTTATAGAAACACATAAGTGCCCAGTAAAGAAAAATTAGCCAGTCAAAAATTACTTTTTGATTCTCAAGAGTTTGTGTTATTGGTATATATTTATAATTTTGCCTTATATGTTAAACTTTGTCCATTTTAGGCACTTCTTTATTTCTGTTACCTTCTAAAGATATCTTAAACCTTTTTCTCTAGTACCATTATAACCAACTCCCACTTTACTACTAAAATTTTTTTACTTTTTTACATAATTCTTTTTATTTCATATTTAACAAATCTCTTGAAGATGAGTATACCAGGCCCAGTTGATGGTCCAAAACACACACCAAATGCATCTGACTTCAAGTATGTAGGACTTCAAGTATGTAGAGTATGCATGCCAACCATAGCAGATTATGTCCAACAGCAAACCTCCAACAGTGTGCAAGCTCCTTTGTGATGGGAAGTTGACATCAACTTTCCATCACAGTGTACTTTTGACTTGCAAGGAACGAAGTCATTCCTAATTTGTTGAGCAGCCTCACAACGTAAATGTTGACACTTTCGATGGACTGTGCTCTTCGACAGAATTGTAGATGATGTTGAACATCCTACTTCATTCACTATGGAAGCTAGAATCATGGTTGAAGTTTGAATGCTGAGATTTGTCCTATCAAGAACTGCAGCCACCATTGGTGAAAGAACATCTTGTAACTACAAAGTAACTACAAAGTCGTCATTGTAATCTTCCGACAAGTCGTTTTCACTGTCTAACAATGCTGCACAATCCATCTTCTGACTTGATGTGGCTGCTGCTGCGGCTAATGCAACTTGCTTGGAAAATTGCTCCTGACATTTTGCAGAGTGCTTCTCTCAACCCAAAAGCTTTTTGTCAACTGGTCCAATTCAACCAGTTCTAGATTCTTGTTGCAATTTCAAAAACAGTCAATCTTCTTCATTACTGATTAGCTGAGCTGCATTCACATGGCTGATATCAAATAGGTTATCAAGTTTTTAAGTGTACTATTTATGATTCTGTTTATTTTTTTCATTCTTCCTGGCCCAAAAGCTCATCATCGTTGTTGCTCACTATACAGATTTTTAATTTTCTGAATGTGTTGCTTCTGGCGTACGGGCAGCCGCGACTTAGTCCAGAATGGAGTTAATTGGTCACGCACTTGGTGTGCACTGTCTGCAACAGGTAACTTCTTTACAAAGTGAGGAAAAATAAAATTCTGCATAACATCTCGTCCAGCTGGAAGACGTGCCCTTGTGATTGTCTCAGAAGAATGCCCTATCAACTAAATACTGTCCTTGCTTTGTGTCACTCTACTCTTTGGCATCTTTACTGATCTTTCTGTAAAAAAAAAAAAAAAATTAATGTTATACTAAAAATTTTTTTACATACTTTAATTAAGATTAGTATATTATTGATGTGGCTCCGAGAATGAGCTATAGTATTAAAAAATTGCTTATTTGATAATTTATTCTTAAAACAATTTATGCTAGAAACCTCAATGAAAACCTAATTAAACACAAATAATACAATTTTTAGGAATATTTCAACAGAATACTCTGGAACTTTTTTTGCTAAGCCAGCGTATTTTTTGAACCAATAAAATTAGTTTGTTTGCAGATTTGGTGGGTTTTTAGAGTTTGCGAATATTCTTTTTTATTCTTCCGCATCAAGATGTTTGAAAACAATAAAGTTTATGCTGAATTAACTTTTTAACTTAATAACTATTTTGCGGACCAACATGGAAACATATAAACTTAAATTGTTCTCAAAATGACTAAAAAAATCTGGTTGGTTTTTTGCAACTAAATATTATTTGTGTGGTCAATTATCAAGTGCCATCTTTTACCCGCTTCCCGACCAAGTCTGAGTAAAACATATGTGCAGAATCTACACTTTCAGATCTTTTTAATGATACCAAACACATTTCCATATGCTGAATAACAACTTTATAAGCCTTTCACAGAAATCAATGCATTACACTCTATTTACACCAACAATTAAAATTTCAAGGACCTTGCTGAACCACTAAATATTATTTAAATTTTATAAAATCTTGCATGTGAAATCATGGGACCAAAAAGAAACTTTTAGGAGGGTGAGACTTAACATTTTCATTTTCAAAATTTTTTACATTTTATTATAAAAAATAAATAAATTTTTACCTTATTTGGAGTACGATAACCCGTGCCGACTTGCATCGAATCATGTTCATATAGTTGCGCAATAGTTGTGCTTATATAATTGCGCAACAGTTGCTTTATTTGTTAAAAGGGTGGATATGCTCAAAGCGGTTTTCACAATGACACAATATTGATAATTGAAAATAGATAACTTTTATCTTGATAATTTGATAATAATTAGTAATAGTAATTAGATAATAATTATCTATTTTCAATAATTGTAAATAGATAGTTATTGTCAATTTTGCGCCATTTTGCATTTTTCAATGTAAAAAAAAGAAAATCGCACTTTTAGAAAACACTGATTCTCTTGTGATAAACATTTATTTAAAATAACACTGATTCTCTTGTGATTAACACTTATTATATATAACAGTTATTTTACATTTAAGAAATAAAATTAAGAAGCATAAAAAAAAGTTTTTCTTAGTTGGTTATGTGAATTATCAAATAACAGACGCAAAGTCACTGTCTAACCATCAAGTTATTGCAGTACTTTTTTTTAACATTGGTGAAGTTAAATTGACTGTTAGTGAAAGCACAAATCTTTTTATTAAACTATTTTATTTTGGGAAAAAGCTTGAATCCCTACCAGAGCTATAATTGTGCAAAAAAACTTGTAGATCTTTACCATGCTAGAGCGAGTTGTAAAAAATTTGAAAAAAGCAACAAGATCCAAACAATGTTTACAAGCACTGTAAAGAGGCATTTCAAAACAAATTAGATTTACTTGATATAGCACATGTTGATGCTTTGGAACAGATAGAAACACAAAAATAAAGAGAATCAGGACAGGATTCTTCTTTTTCTTCAACTAATCAATTCAAGATTTTCGAGCTTCTTAGTACTTCTACTAGTATTTAGCGTCTTTTTCGACTAACCTTTTGTAGAAAAAAAATTAGCAGAAAAATTAGAAAGAGCAAGACAGAGAAAATTAAAAAAAAGAAAAAAAAAAAAAGAAATAGTTAATAGTGTTTTGAGAACTTCATCTCTTACAACACAAGATTTAATGCAAATGCAAGAACATAACTATCAACACATCAACACCAATAAAAGGCTTGAGGAACCAATACCATCAATAGCTCATGGTAAGTTCTGAAACTAAAACAAAAAGAGGAAGAAAGAAGTTTATCACATTTTAAGCATATAGGATTCAGTAGAAGCACTAGATCTGAGCTGTGATGATTTCTCAAAAAACTTCAATGTATTCGCACACAAAGTAGAAAAGATAGAGCGGAATTGATAAAATTAGATTTTAAGAATAATATACATGAAATGGTGACCGTTAACTGGGATGGGAAATAATTACCTGGAATGGACGTAAGAAGTTTTAAAACAGAAAGTTTGGCAATTCTAATTTCATTTAGAGAAAAAGAACACATGCTGGCTATACTAAAACTGGTGAACTCTTCTGTGTTAAACGCACTTTATGACTGGAACCTGGATGACAAGTACAAATAATTTGTTGTGACACAACAGCATCTAATACAGGGTCATTAAAAGAAGCTCGTGTACTTTTTGCTTGTCGCCATCATGTTTACAAACTGCTTTTATGTGTGTTTGAAACAAAAATCCGCTAAGTCACAAGTAGCCCTGATATATAATGTTCAAAAAAGTTTAGAGACAACTGGAAAACTGTTAATCTGGCTATTATATTATATATTATATTATATAATGAAACATACACCGATATCGTCAAACAATATTTTAGTAATACAACATTTGAAGAATTGTTAACATTTTATAATCAAGAACTGCAAAAAACTAGTGTACGTGATAATTATTGGGAACTGATTAATCAGTTACCGATATTATTCTCAGTATTCTTAGGAGGTGATAATGAGAAAAAAAGTAAAATCAGACCTCCTGGCGTAATGCATCAAGCAAGGTGGATGGCTAGAGCTATTTACTCTTTAAAGATGTTTGTTGCAATTCTAGATCAAAATTAGAGGCAAGAATAAACGAGCACTTTAATTCATTTTCTTGATAAAAAATTAATGAGGACTTCCTCCAGAAACCTGTTTTAACATAGGATGAGAATGTTGCCTATATAGAGGCAAAAAGAAAAACTTTTTTTTTTGTGCATTTAATGATGCAGCTAAAAGAGCAGTAAAACTTATTAAAAATATTCATGATTTGATGACTGCAAAGGAAGAACAAAAGCAATATTTGCTACGGTGTGTGCAAGAGCATAGAAATCTAGACTGTAAATATGAGATCCTTAAAGAAAAATATCCAGCTTGATCTAAAATTTTTTATTCTTTTATTAAAATATAAGTTTTTCAATTGATTTAGCTACATATTGGGAAGGATTAAAAACAGCAATTTTTAAAACCTTCATAACTCTGTCGGGATGCATTAGTGTTATTGTAAAAAGATAGTAAAAAGTTTTGTTTTTAAATAAGTCTATTATATTGGTTACTTTAAATTTTTTCTTTTTTTACAAACTAGTCACAAAAAAAAAATTATCAAAGTTACCACTCAATTGTTTTTTTTAAACTTACAAAAGTGCAATTTTTAAAAAGTGTAAATTGAGATGTAATGTAACGTTAAAAAAATCTCTATTTAAGTTGTATTTTGAATTGCGTTTCACGTCTAGATTTTGATACGCTATTTAGTAATTAAAGAAAAAAATCCTGCTTGATCTGTAACTTTATATTTATTTTATTAAACATTTTATAAAATATAAGTGTTTTAACTGATTTATAACAGGATAATGATAACAGGAAGGGTTAAAAACAGCATTTTTAAAAATTTCTACATGACCCTGTTGGCATGTGTTAATGTTGTTGTATGAAGTTAAATGTTGTTAAATGAAGTTAAATGCATGTGTTAATGTTGTTGTATGAACCCTGTTGGCATGTGTTAATGTTGTTGTATGAAGATAAAACTTCGTATTTAAGTAAGTCTAGGCAGTTTAAAAAGATATATTATTTAGCATTAGCATTTAGACAGTTGCCAAAAAGCTGCTAAATCTCATTTTATCTTCAAAAACAAAATAATCAATAACAATGCAGTTAAAAGACAGATTTGTTTCTATAAAAAATATATTATTTAATTTTCTGAGAGACTTTATTGAATGAAGGATTAATAATTTAAACTAGTTTATCACCAGTCAAATATCATGAAATAAATAAAGAGCAATTTATAGGTTAAATATAACGCTTTAAACACAAATTAGAACTATTGTTCTAGTTGTATCTGTGTGTGTATATATGTATGTATATTCATCTACTATAGGGAATATAGACATACATTTGGTAACATTTTTTGCTAACTTAATTACTTACATTAAAAGAAAAAAGAAAAAGCTAACCCTTGCATGTTTACCCTGTTTAGTCAGTTGATGCATGTACTTGACAGCTTCAGTACATGCATCAGACAGATTGATTATCAAAGTATTTATTTATATACAATAGGGTGGAGTGAAAAAAACTTTTTTTTCTCTAAATGACTTCCAATAGTTACCAAAAGTTGTCACTTGGGTAGGTGTCTTGACAAAAAAAAAACTTTTGATTTTGGATGATGTCTTCTGCCCTCTCCCGGCAATTTAATTTTGGAAATTTTTTGATTTTTTTGTAAAAAGTCGATATTTTCTGATTATTTAATTTAACGATTAACCCTTAAATGCATGATTTTTTAAAAAAACATCAGAATAAATCAACATTATGTAAAATGATTTGCTTCATTTAAAAAAAGTTTGAAAATCAATTTTTAAAGTTAAAACATTTTTTTTAAAAGAAAAAGATGTGTTGCATATCTTCAACGCATCAAAAAGTAATTTTACTGAGAAGTATGATAAGTTTTGAAACAATTATTTTTTTTGTTGGAGCACAGATGCACCCTTGTTGGAGCACAGATGCAACCCATATTTCTCACATATAGTTTGGGCATATCATTTACATTTAAGAAATTTACATCTGACTCGTCCATCAATCCAAGTTATCCAATGCCCTGCTTGATTTAGGCGAACTTCCTTTGGTGGTGCAAACTGAGATAACTTTTTTTTGATGGCTTCCATCATTTCTTTTAATGTACCATTGCTAGGGCGACCTCTTTTTATGGTATTTTTTTGTCCAACTTTTATTAACCAATACTTAAAGACAATACTTTCCGAAACTCAAAAAATGTCATTTTTTCTTGGTGATTTTGAATTGAATTTAATACTCTATTATAAAGAATCTATGAATGTCATGTCAATGAAATGATAAAAAAGACGCATATAACATTCTTGCTTTTTAATATAATTTTGTGTTGAGCAATAATATCATTCAAGATCCAAGATCTGGTTGATCTATTTCTGTTCTTTTGTTTTCTTGGCCAGAATAAACTTCAAACTTATAAGCAAATCCACTAACTCCACAAAGTACAAATAATTTAAAACCTTATTTGAATGGTTTCATTGGAATATACTGCTTCGAAAAATGACTAACTTTTGTGGAACATAACTGTTCGTCTACTGTCAACTGAGCTTCCAAAGGAACCATAGAACTTTTTAAGTTGAGATGATCAATTAGTGGTCTAATTTTGTGTAGTCTATCATGAAAAGGATTTCCTTGAGGCAAATATTTAGTGTTATCATTGAAATGAATAAACTGGCGAATTTTCACAAATCTATTAACTGTCATACAGTTTACAACAATGCTAATATCAAATTCTGGGGACCAATATGATCGCACGTTGGGTAGTCGTAATACTGACATGTAAATATTAATATATTGTCTCAGCTCTGATAGATTTAAATTTAATGAATTACTAATGTTAGTCTGTATTGAATATAAATTTGATTAATTTACAATCATTTGCAGCAAGTCATCTGAAAAAAAGTATTTAAAACATTTATAGGTAGAACTTATGTCAGAAAATTCACTTGGAAGACTATCATTTCCATAAAATTTAAGCTGATCGTCTGTCAAGATTAAGTTCTTGTTTTTCCATAATACCTGTGTCTTTTTTTTTGCTAACTTATTTGATTTAGATTGGCACACGTTTACAGTATGAGTTTTATTATTTTCTTCATATTTTGATTCGATATTATCTTCATCGTGCTCATCATTATCTTAATTGTTCTTATCTATATCCTCATTGTCCTCATCTTCATTTAATATTTGTAAATCTTCATTAAATGAATATTCGGGATCAATGAGAAAATCCACATCGTAATCATCTTCACTAATTTCACTTAAATGGTCAATAAAGTATTGTAAATCATCGTCACTTAACAGCTTCAATTTACTTTTGTTTGACATAATTTTAGCTGGAAAAAAAATAAATTAATTTGATGACTAAATTCACACACATAAGATAACATACATTTAGCACTACTCATAAAGAGAGAGAAAGAAAAAATGATAATACAACTATAAAAAAAGATGAACAAACAAAGAATAGAATGCATAAAGTAGCATTTCTGCAACTTACAAACTTAATATTATTATTTGCAATAACAATAAATTTATAACAACCTATAATTTTTATAATAAATAATAAGCTTTAGAAAAACGAAAATAAATTTATTTGTCCATAAAAGAACGCATTATCTACTTTAAAAACCACTTAAAAATAAAATAAAATAGTAAACTCGTAAGAAAACGATGTGACAAACTACTTCTCAACAACATCTTTCTACATTTTGAGTAAATTAATTTTAACAATTCTTATAAAAAGTTTATTAAAGAGATTGCTGTTTAAAGTGGTCGCTTTAAAGTTATCGCTGTTTAAAGTTGCTTATAAAATTATTCAACATTTAATTACTTTTTTTTATTATTTTACTTATAAAGAAATCTTACATAGTTAATATTAAAATAAAATGAATAAAAATAAAAATTTATACAACTTTAAATAATACTTTAATTAAAATCATTAGCTACTTTTTTTAAAAGCGTTTTGCTAATATAAAAACATCTCAAAGTTATTTATTTTCAAGGTATTTAAAAACCAATTTTTTAGTACATGTGATAAAAACCATGGTTAAATCATCAAAACAAAATATTTTTTGCGTGGTCATATAAAGACTTCACACACCTTCCTGTCCAAGCCTGTGTTTATATATATGTATTTGATTCGAGTATATGAATAGTAAAATATAAATAACTCATTTTTACCTATAAAACCGATTTTCTAATCTTGATTTTATTGTTTGAAGATCAGTGGGAAATGCTACAACACTACAGTAAGTTGGATACATAAGTGTATCAACAGGACTAACAAATGAAAAAGCAAAATCCAATTTCATTAAATCATTAAGACCTGAAATATAAATAAAACAAGTTTGTATAAGGTAAGTGATAATTATCCTATAAGTTTTGACACCTAGTCAGTAATGTTAGTTTATTCAGTCAAATTCATAGTTTATATTATAGTATATAAACATATCAAACTTTGTTATGTTTTACATTTTTAAAACCATAAGCATAAATTTTATTTTTGATCACTGTACAAACATAATGGAAATTACTTGCACAATTAATTTCATTTAATTTTTAATTATATTGTCATTAAAACAGCATTAAAAAGACAAAACCTTTTCCAACCCTAGATAACAGATCTTCAAAGCTTTCATAAGGCCAGTCTGTTTCGTTATGTTTATACATGTACAAAACTTTATCTTCTTCTGTTAATGGATCACCATTTACAATATCACAATCTGCATTAAAATCATTAAAAAAAATAATTAAACAAAATTAAAACCTTTATTTTTTCTTTAGTGAGATTTCCAAGTGCAATAAACATATTCTTTCATTTAAAAGAACATAAAAATATTTTTGATAATATTAAAACTGTAATGAAAGTTTGTATTATAAAAATAAACTTTCCTTCAATTAAAAAAAAAAAAGCGCTTTTAGCTTCTTTATAGAAACAATCAACAAAAAGTCAATTAAAATATGGAAATATTTTAGTTTTTGTTAAACTACTTAACATTTAAAATTAAATTCATTTTTTTGAACTGGCTAATTGAATTTTTGCAACAGTTTTATTTTTGTTAAACTAAAATAAAATTGTAAGATAAAATTTTACTTATTAAACACCCGACCTTGTAAGGTATGTAAGGTATGTAACTTACTATTACTAGGTAATATTATAACATTATGTAAGGTAGTATTATAACATTAATATGTAACATTTCTCTCACTTTCAAATTTGTTACCAAATATTGAGTTTCTGTGTTTCGCTTCCTCAAAAAATAGTTTGTAAAGACTTGTGAAGGATGAAGACTTTGTGAAGAATTATGACTTTTATTACAATGTGGCAGGAGTAATATACACTAAAATTTTTAATGTACTTTTTAAAAGAAGAACATGTTTATTACACTTAGGAATCTTTTTAATCACAGACAACTATTTAATAGAATAATTTTATTCAAAATATTTTACTATTTATACAAACAAAATTATATAGAAAATAGATTTTTAAAATGTTAAAAGTACCTTCAGGAATTCTTTCTAGATCCCAGGGGCTTACCCACTCACTCTCACCTGAATCCCATCTAATTAAATTCAACAAAAGTAAAAATCAATAACAAGAAAAAAATTATTTCTTTAAAAAAAGAAGAGTTAAATAAATAAAGATGTAAATAATAAAATAAAGATAAAATAAAATCATACTTGACAGTTAAACTTTGAAAACTGCTGTTTGGAAAATCTTCTTCAAAAGGACTAACATTTGTGATGTTTCCAAAATACCATTTATCATCAATAATACATCTGAATCTGTCTCCTTAAAAAAAAATCACTGTAGTATGTAAAATAACAATTTTTTTCTTCACATTTTTACTAGAACAAACAAAAAACCTTCTTTCCAGTAATGCATCAAAGACTCTTCATATATATGCTTTAAAACCAAAAAGTCTGCAACATTTGGCATATCATGAAACCTTTAAAAAATACATCCCAATTGAAATTTGACACTTTTTAAAAAATATAATTTTCAATATGCTGTAATTTAATAAATTACTTCACAGTTATGGTTTGTTTTCTGCCTGATGATTTTTTCTTTCCAACAAGTTCTAGAAAAAACAATAACAACAATAAAGTTAAATATATACATATATCATCTTTTTCTGAAAAAGCTGTATACTATAAAGATAAGCAAAACTAATAAGCATATGCTCCTTTAACATGCATTTAACATATATATATATATATATATATATATATATATATATATATATATATATATATATATATATATATATATATATATATTATATATATATATATATACTATATATATATACACCAATTGTTATTTTTTACATACAATTTCCATATCGTATTCATTTTTATTATATTTTAAAGTTCTAAAATGTGTTTGTATATAAATTAAAAAAAAATAGTATTTTATTTGTGCAACTTTTTTTAAATAATAGTCTAGACCACATATATTTTGATTTCTTTTGTTATAATTTTTTCTTTTAAAATATTAGATAAAATCATTTTTAACCTAAAATAATAATGCACTTTTATTAACTTACTTTGTAAATATTAAAAAAAAATTATTAACGCATATTTTCTCTGATTTTCAAAAATGTATTTTTTGGTATTGAGGCGATCTTATTTCATTATTTGTATTTCCATTATTATAACATCCAATATATAAAATGGCTATGGAAGGTCTAAAAAGTTGGAGGAGGAGCTAAAACGAAAATTAAGGAGGCTAATGCCGCCAGAACCATAATTTCAATTTTTCTCTTATTACTCCGTATTTCCTATTGAAAAGTTGCACAGTGGGTTGGATATTAGATTTATGGTGGACAAAACTATTTTCATTTTTTTTTTATTTAAGATCTAGTTAAATTATTGCATAAACAGAAAATATTTCAACAAAGGGTAATCTATGAAACGATATATGAGAACCCGATTTGTTATTGCTAGAGCAACCGATAACAGCGCAACATGGCATTGTAATTTTTGTTAAAAAAAAATCTTACATTTCAAGAAAAATATAGTTATCCTAAAAAAAAGTTGGGGGGCCATCAACACCGGTGGTGACGGCCATAGATAATACCATAAGAAAAGTTTAGAAATAAAAGTTTCTAATAAAAATTTACAAAACAAAACAAAACAACTTTTTATCAGTATCTTTATAAATATTATATATCATATAAAAACATTAAACATTGATAAAATCTAAATTATAGCTACCAGTGCAATGGAAAGAGGGTCGGAGATCCCCTCCCTATAAAACATGTCATTAGGGTCTCATCATTTAAAAAAACTTTGAATGTTAGGCATAACGAAAAAAAAAAATTAAATTTGGTAAAATTATTCTTAAAACTAATCTTAAATTTAATAAAAGAACACCTAAAGTTATTGCCCCCCTCCCCTGTTCAGGGTGTAACCGATGAGACACAGCGTGTTATTTTATTGGATTATAAAAAAATTATTTTTTAATATGAAGATTTTAAAAAATAAAATAAGTAACTATACATGTAGTTAGCTATTTTAGTAAAATTTAATAGTAAAA